TGTTTTGTGACACACTTCACAGTGGATTAGGAGCAGGAGACGAGGCGCCGTGAGCGGGTGCAGTGGCCTCTTTGTTCCCGTGGCTCAGTAAAGAGGGCGAAGAACACGGTCGACCTTTTCAGCCGCAGTGACAGAGGCTGCGGGCGCCTTCTCTTCCCTCTCTGCTCCGTCCACATGGTTCACACACATCCTGTTGTTTCTTCATTAACCAGAGATTTCAACTCCTGGTTCATTGTTATGTTCTATAACTTCTATTTGACTGTTTATCCAAACGATAAACCGTATGTGCGACCCACTAATGAAACTACAACCTTTATCTGAGATTTTCTAAACCAGAGGTGTCCAAACCTTTTAGTACCAGGGCCACTTTAGTTCACAGACTGGTCCAGGGGCCGACACCTGGATTGTTAAACTGATTTGACTGGATTTGGGCTGTTCTGAGCTTTATGATTAGCTTTGATGGAGCTGAAGTTGGCTGAATGTCGGAATTTTGTGACACATACACATGCACATAACATGGGGCAACAGTGGCTCAGTTGGTAGAGCACTGGTGGACTACTGGCCCTAATAGTTGTGGGTTCAAGTCCCCCATGACCCATGTCACCTGCTCCCACTGATGTCTGCTATCGTTGTGTCCCTGGGCAAGACACTTAAGCCCACTTTGCCTGAAGCCTCCACTGAATGTCTTCAAGGACGGAGAAGCCATCGTCTGTGGACCCACCACCTGAGGGAGGATCAGAACTGCTTCCAAATCTATTTTCTGACAGCCATAATCACTCTTCCATGTATTAAAGGTGTATAGGAGGATTGTTTTACTTTGGGGTGGATCATCAAGACTACTGGTCCTCCTACTTGTCAATCATTCTGGTGAGATAGACGCTGAGTCTTACACACTTTCAGGTTAGCAACAATCCTGTTCAGAGGAGACAGTGATGGTGTGATGGGATCCCCTGTTGTTACTAGATGTCTGACAGATATAACAGATTCTTCAGACTGAAAACGCCCCCTGTGGCCTCTGGAGAAGTGAGTCCCAAGTGTGAGCCAAGGTGAAGGCCCCCTCATCTGTGTTCATGGTCCATGTGCCCCTTGACTGATTTATAAATTACCTCTTGTATCCATCTTCTGTATTTAGGCTCTTCCGTTCCCACTATTTTTGCATAGTCCCGGTCCATTAAGAGATTTTCTCCTTAGCTTTGGTCAGATATTACTGATTTGAGGTTTTCTTGTTAAAAAACTAAATCAATTAGATTATATTCCATTTATTCTTGTAATATCCCCAAATCAAAACAGTAGTTAGGCTGGAGAACAAGGATCGAGGCCACGCGGTGCAGGACTCGGGATGCGAAACTAGGACCGACGCAACGCAGGATACAGCTCCCAGGCGGGAAGGGGGCCACGAGTCGAGGCAATATCATCAGCAATATCAGAATCAGAATCAGAATCATTTTTATTGCCACGTAAGTAACAGGAGGTCACAGACTAGGAAATTGCTTTGGCTCAGTGCAACAGTCAAAAAGAGATAATAAAAATAAGAATAAAAAACACTTCTAAAGAATAAATTTAAATTTAAAATAGAGTTACAGGTACTATTTACAGTATACAAGTGCACATGGTGCACACAATGTAAGGTGACAGCAGTACAGTGAAGTAAAGTGACGTATGATGGGCAGTAAAGTGACTTTATAAAGGGCGGGGGGACAGGTTAAGAAGTGTTCAAGAGTCCAACAGCAGAGGGGAAGAAACTGTTCTTGTGGCGGGAGGTTCTAGTCCTGATGGACCGCAGTCTCCTGCCTGAGGGGAGTGGTTGGAATAGTCCATGTGCAGGTGAGAGGGGAGTGGTTGGAATAGTCCATGTGCAGGTGAGAGGGGTCGGCTGTGATACGACCAGCCCGGCCTCGAGCTCGGGCGACGTACAGGTCCTGCAGCGATGGAAGGCTGCGGCCGATCACTTCCTCTGCAGAGCGCACAATGCGCTGTAGTCTCTGTTTGTTCCTGTCCAATATCAGACCAATCAGGAAGAGGGGGCGCACGGACCATCAACAGAGACGAGGGGGCTTTCAACTTGGCTCATACTTTGGACTCACTTCTCCCGAGACCACAGCGCGGCGGCGGACATGACCACATAACAGATCTAATGCCCAAACATGTTGTAATTAAGCAGAACTAGCTTCAATACACTTTCGTCTTAGTAAATGACCCTTCTAAGCCTTACACATAAAAAAGGACATACTGAACTTTATTATTTGAGTTCCTTCTAAAACTTCCCATATAAGCCTCCAGGGGGCGCACTCCCCTTTATGGCGTAGAGGCACGTGACCAAATATAACCGAGAATGACGGCAATATATGAAATACTAAATTGTTTTTGAAAAGTATCCGTAGTAAATACAACAACATAAAAGTATTCCACACACCATCACTCGACAATAGTATCCTGATGGTGTTCCTGGTGCGTGTATTCTCCAACACCATCGACAGAGCGACAGAGAAAGTCCTTTCCACGAACCTAAAAAACACTTTGCTCCAATCGCTGAAACCTGCTCAATTCCTTTGTTCCATTGTTTATGATGAGCCTCCTCCCCCCTCCTCCCCCCCTCCTCCCCTCCTCCCCCTCCTCCCCCCTCCCCCCCCTCCCCCCTCCTCCCCCTCCTCGTCCTCCTACCTCCATCTCTACATGTGCCACTTCCAATTTGGCTGATGTGCCCCGCGGCCTTGTGCGTCTGCGGCTGTGGGGGGGGTCCGGCCCACGCTCCCCCATGATTATGGAAGCTGCTCCCGTCTGTGGCAGAGCTGGTGGAGGGTGATTTGTCAGGCCTCTGATTGGTCGGTGTCTGGGCGGTCAGTGGGCGGGGGCCATGTGAGGCTGCTGCGGTTGTTAAAGAGAGTGGGAAGCTTGTTTGTGTTGGCGAGTTAGACGACAGGGTTGTGTGTTTGTGTAGATGTTTGTGTTGGCGAGTTAGACGACAGGGTTGTGTGTTTGTGTAGATGTTTGTGTTGGCGAGTTAAACGACAGGGTTGTGTGTTTGTGTAGATGTTTGTGTTGGCGAGTTAAACGACAGGGTTGTGTGTTTGTGTAGATGTTTGTGTTGGCGAGTTAAACGACAGGGTTGTGTGTTTGTGTAGATGTTTGTGTTGGCGAGTTAACGACAGGGTTGTGTAGATGTTTGTGTTGGCAAGTTAAACGACAATGTTGTGTAGATGTTTGTGTTGGCGAGTTGAACGACAGGGTTGTGTGGATGTTTGTGTTGGCGAGTTAAACAACAACGTTGTGTAGATGTTTGTGTTGGCGAGTTAAACGACAATGTTGTGTAGATGTTTGTGTTGGCGAGTTGAACGATAGGGTTGTGTGTTTGTGTAGATGTTTGTGTTTGTGTGCTAAGCTTTTGTGTGAAGGATTAAGGCATTTAGAAGGGAGAAGCTGGTGCTGTACTGCCTCTGCTGGTGCTGCACTGCCTCTGCTGGTGCTGCACTGCCTCTGCTGGTACTGTACTGCCTCTGCTGGTGCTGCACTGCCTCTGCTGGTGCTGCACTGCCTCTGCTGGTACTGCACTGCCTCTGCTGGTGCTGCACTGCCTCTGCTGGTACTCTACTGCCTCTGCTGGTACTGTACTGCCTCTGCTGGTGCTGCACTGCCTCTGCTGGTGCTGCACTGCCTCTGCTGGTGCTGTACTGCCTCTGCTGGTGCTGCACTGCCTCTGCTGGTGCTGTACTGCCTCTGCTGGTGCTGTACTGCCTCTGCTGGTGCTGCACTGCCTCTGCTGGTGCTGTACTGCCTCTGCTGGTGCGTTGAGTCCATTCTCATTAGTGATTGTTATCAATAAAGCTGGGGTCCCTAACTTTCAGACCACAGACAATGCAACAGTTTGGTTCTATCGCTGGTTTCAGATGTATATATTTTTGGCCTTTGTCACGTCACCTTTTTAGGCAGAAAAGTGAAGAAGAGAGGACCCAACTCTCAGCTAAAAGAGTCTAGTTGTGACTATTTCTTGATGAATTAGACGGAGCAAGTTTAATTGTATAGCACAGTGTAAACACAAGACAACTCAAAGTGCTGAACAAAACAAGAAACAATACAAGATCTGAAATGCTGCCTCCTCATGTTTAGTTCTGACTCTGGGACCAGCAGGAAGCCGGGCCCTGTGCTCCTCAGAGTCCCAGCAGGAGGCCGGTCCCTGTGCTCCTCAGAGTCCCAGCAGGAGGCCGGTCCCTGTGCTCCTCAGAGCCCCAACAGGAGGCCAGTCCCTGTGCTCCTCAGAGTCCCAGCAGGAGGCCGGTCCCTGTGCTCCTCAGAGTTCCAGCAGGAGGCCAGTCCCTGTGCTCCTCAGAGTCCCAGCAGGAGGCCAGTCCCTGTGCTCCTCAGAGTCCCAGCAGGAGTCCAGTCCCTGTGCTCCTCAGAGTCCCAGGAGGAGGCCAGTCCCTGTGCTCCTCAGAGTCCCAGCAGGAGTCTAGTCCCTGTGCTCCTCAGAGTCCCAGCAGGAGTCTAGTCCCTGTGCTCCTCAGAGTCCCAGCAGGAGTCCAGTCCCTGTGCTCCTCAGAGTCCCAGCAGGAGGCCAGTCCCTGTGCTCCTCAGAGTTCCAGGAGGAGGCCAGTCCCTGTGCTCCTTAGAGTCCCAGCAGGAGGCCAGTCCCTGTGCTCCTCAGAGTCCCAGCAGGAATCCAGTCCCTGTGCTCCTCAGAGCCCCAACAGGAGGCCAGTCCCTGTGCTGCTCAGAGTCCCAACAGGAGGCCAGTCCCTGTGCTCCTCAGAGTCCCAGCAGGAGGCCAGTCCCTGTGCTCCTCAGAGTTGGTTCATATGGCTCTAACATGTCACAGATGAACTTTGGTACGAGGCCATAGAGAAACTGTTTTTGTAAATTATACTTATATTATTTAAGTACTTTCTTGGACACTTATTCATGAAGCATTGCTCTTTCACTCCAGACACGGTGATGCTAAACTACCACCGTAGCCACAGCTGCCCTGCCACCCCCTCACAGGATCGTCTCATGGTGACGTCAGAGTGATGCGATCGGGCGGAAACACCACAGCCGTGCAGCCAGTGCAGCCTCAGCGGCGTGACGTCCTAATCTCCGTGTGAATGGAGAGAGTCGGGCTCCGTCATGTGAACATAAAGCGGTGAGTACTTCCTCTGGGCGTGTGCGGACGGGAGCCGAGGCCAGCTGTCACTCAAACTGTGCGTGACTATAAACGCTGACGACGCCGTTTCTGTCTGTGTTACGCTCAGGGTGAAGACTTTCCATCTGAATTCACAGCTTTAAGCACGGATCACGGGTTAAGTCAGAGGTGCAGGTGAAATGCTAACAGAGAACTTTAATTATAGAGAATTTGGCAGGTTTTATTTTTCTATTTGTCGATCAGAGACACAACATTATGGAAGACTTTGCCAGAACACATACAAACTGTGGGACCTAGCTAACGTTTAGAGGAGCCCTGGAAAAATCTGCTCTGGACTTTCTCTTTAAAATTCTTGTTACTACTTTTACCATAGCTGTGTGTCTCTACCTGCCTCAGGACAATGGATGCTATTTAGCTGTTATGCTAGTTCCAGAATATTAATGCTGACGCTGTTTGCAGACACACTGATTAACATGTACTGTCCTAAATTAAAATAAATGTATGTTTTCCTCTTAGCCAGTGTCTTTATCTCTATATTTACTAAAGCAGCTGCCCCAAAGTGCTTCACAGGTGCAAAAGACAAAGAAAAAGTATAAGTTCTCAGTGACGGATCCTTCAGTTGCACCGACCTCCGACCTCCACACGTTTTTGTTTTTGGGATTATGCAAAACATTTGTCAATCGTGTTGGATTAAGAATATGTTTTTCTGGATTATAAACTCAAACGCCCGCAGGAGGCTACTCACATAGTTTCTCGTTGATCGTCCGTGCGCCTCGAGGCTTCGCCAGGTGTGGCTTGACATCATTCCATGTTCATTCTTGGATGAATACTTCTGACTGAACTCTTCACCTAAACTTAAGACAAATAACTCACTGCTTAATTGGCCGGGTGTGTCATGTGACCACGGCGTTCACACTCAAGAGCCAAGCGGACCGAGTTCACTTCACTGGACCAAGCCCGGTTCACATCTCTGAGCTGGTAGTAAACTGACTTTGCTGCTGGGAAGCCATGGATGCCAAGGAATTTCTATGGATACCAGTGTGTTGTGAGATGGTTGCCTGGATACAGAACCAGATGCTGAAGTGTGATGGAAACACAACCAAGTAGAGACAGAGGGAAATAGATCAGACCTGGACACATACGGCCCGATTCACGTTTCTATGTGACACCATGGATCTATAATAATAACTGGATAGGGTTGTTTAGAGCTAGTTTAGAGCTGTCCCACCCAGAAGCCCAAATCCACGTCGGCAACCCTGATAAATGTCCCATAGATCTAAACTTAAACAGCCCAACCTCAGCTGACAGAGAACCTGACAGAGAACCTACAGCTTTCATGAAAGAGGATTTTATTGTCCCTTGTCGACTTTTTTTCTTGTTAAATCCTTTTATATAAATCTACACTTTAACGCAAAAAACTCTGCTCAATTGCCTTCTGCTTTAGCTCCGCTCTGATCAGCAGCTCTGATTGGTCAAAGCGTGGCGAGCCCCTCTGTGCACGTGCATGAGAGCAACACACGCGTATTTGGAGCAAAGCATCATGGGAGCCCGTCCACTGCGCAGAACCGGGAGGACCAGACGATGCCCAAATATGGTCGAGTTCCGCTAATCTTTCAGTCCCCGTGTAAGTCTCATGCACTACTGAGCACAAGCTTTGAATAGGACGCCATCTTGGATCACCGGGGCTTGTGGGACATTCTGACCTGTTCCACTAACTCCTTCCTGCTATAATGGCATGTTATACCTTATAATAATTCATCAAAAGCATCTGTCCACAATACTCAGTCTTCTTAAGCTTTGATCAAGGTTTGGTTCAACATATTTATAATCCAAATATAACAAAACAATTATAATTTCTCTTCTTGATCTAACGTGATCCTAATTGTCACTGGTCACATCATTGGTATTGACAATCCATCGACACAATCAGTTTGTGGATCACCCCTGCAGCAGCCAATCAGCTCTCAGCTCACAGAGGCAGACAGCGACTCCCAAAGTACGCTCTGGTTCAGATGTGGAAGACCGAGACTCCCTCAGCTTTACCTGACGAACCTTCACGAGAATCTTCCACGAAACCTAAGACCTCCATCGCTCTCCCAAACTCAACTAAATTAATCTAAACTCAACTAAATTAATCTAAATTCCGTCTCCTCTGATCGCTGTTGCATCAGACACAAATATCCCGCGACCTTCTCTCTCCTCCCACTCTCTCGCTTTCTCTGCACGTGACAGAAGCCGCCGCAATTATCTTCCGACGCCGCTGAAACCTTCGCACAAATAAATAATAGTGAAAAAAAAGTGTGACGAAACCTAAAGATTTTTTGACGATGCGTAATTAGATGAAGGCGCGTGGATTTGCATAGCGGCCTCTTGATGGATAAAGGCGGCTCCGGAGCTGACAGTTTCTAAATGAGTTGTTTTTGCAGACGGCAGATGGTGGATCTCTCACGGAGGATGTGAGCCAGGTGTGTGCGTCCCGGTGAAGCCTCCTCTTCATCAGACCCTTCCATCAGACCCTTCCATCAGACCCTTCCATCAGACCCTTCCATCAGACCCTCAGAGGTTATGGATTCTCTCGGTCCTGGACGCAGTGTGACCTCTGCCAGTCGATCTCAGAGAACATGGATCGATCACGTGTTGAAGTCGTTGAAGTCAATGTTTCTCTTTGTCCGCTCGTTTGGAAAGAACAGAATCAAAGGCGTCTTGTAATTAGGTGTTCGTCTGTGATCAAATAAACAAGGAATAGATTTACTTTAGAATGTTCTGGAAACTGCAGCGAGTCCCAAGTGTCTCTGAAACTGTTGTTGTTTTGTGTTTTACAATATTGTTATTTTTGCTGTAGCACAGTGTTCACGGTTTTACACTGGTCCAGACCAGAGCAGAAAGGATTCATGGTTTTACACTGGTCCAGACCAGAGCAGAAAGGATTCATGGTTTTACACTGGTCCAGACCAGAGCAGAGAGGATTCATGGTTTTACACTGGTCCAGACCAGAGCAGAGAGGATTCATGGTTTTACACTGGTCCAGACCAGAGCAGAGAGGATTCATGGTCCGAACCAAGTGGATCAGATGAAAATCCACTGGAGGAATGCTTTGCTTAGTATTTTACTTTGGACCAGAGCAGAGAGAATGGTCTGAACCGAGCCGCTCCACCTCTGCTGCTGAGACCTGAAGGACTGATGGATTTTTTTTATTACTATTGTAGCTTTTTAGAATGATCAATCCATTAGTTTTGTTTGTTTGTTCAGATGCATGTGTTTTTTCTGCTGGACACCTGCATTTCTCCAATCAATAAAGTATCTACCTATCTGTTTGGTAACTATGAGCCTCTGAGTGGATCTCCCCCAGGTGTGCCTCTGGTCTGCCCCACTGCCATCGCACCAGGAGGGAGCAATCATGGACTCAATCAGAGGCAAAACCAAAACCAAGGACTGAAAGGATCTAAAGTGCTCCTCCAAAAGAAAAGTATTTGTTGAATCCGGGTTTGTAAAAAACTGTAATTACTGTTATTGTTTAAAATCTAGAGACTAAACTAAATCTAGCCTGGTCGTACCACACCATAGTACAAATTACATTCTGGATTGTCTCCATTGACTCCGTGAACAGGTGGGAGGGGTTAACTCCTTTTGCAGATTGAAACCATTGGGTTTGAGTTTACTGTGACGTATGTAATGCGTCCGAGTGAGTCGTTAGCATTTAGCCTAGCTTTAGCCATCTCCTTTGCCGCTAACAGAGCCCGTGGGGAGTAGCGCCACAATTTTTTCCAGTGATTACATTTGCTAAACATTCCTCTTGGTCCTGCTTCAATTTCTTGATAGAAACAGACCAGAATACTTTACTATCGCATTTTTTGCCATTGCCAAACTACAACCTGCCCGTTCAGCGCAAACTCTTGACATCACCCACAGCTAACTAAAACACCTGCCTCCTGCGCTCTCCGATCGGTCGGATGGAATTCAACCGATTGTAATCGCAAACCCAGGGACCAGACCCGTCACGTGCAGGAAATAATGTTTGAGCGGAGTAATGATGGCCGGGCTAATGAAACCAGAAAAACCATAAAAATCCTAAAAGAGGCCTAAATATAAACGTTGACTTCAGTAAAGTCTGAACTGTTTTTAGTGTCTAAAAATAATAATAAGTATAAAATCTGACCTTTTCTGGAAACTCAAAAACTCTTTGCAAAGGGACAGGTCAAAACATCTAAAATAAACAGTTACATTTGGACAGGTTTGAACAGGTTGGTTTTCAAGGTTTATTGTCTGCTCTGGTCCGCTCTGGTTCGCTCTGGTCCGCTCTGGTCTCTGTGACAGGCCTCAGACAGGATTAGTGTCCGTGCGTCTGTGAAGTATTGACATGATTTGATCGTCCTCCTCCAGAACACGACTTTAACCTCCAGTCTCTGCGACTGTGGACTTTGTGTTTGTCAGACGGACTCTGACGGTCTCAGACAGACTCAGGTCAGGACTCAGACAGACTCAGGTCAGGACTCAGACAGACTCAGGTCAGGACTCAGACAGACTCAGGTCAGGACTCAGACGGACTCAGGTCAGGACTCAGGTCAGGACTCAGGTCAGGACTCAGGTCAGGACTCAGGTCAGGACTCAGACAGACTCAGGTCAGGACTCAGACGGACTCAGGTCAGGACTCAGACGGACTCAGGTCAGGACTCAGACGGACTCAGGTCAGGACTCAGGTCAGGACTCAGACGGACTCAGGTCAGGACTCAGTCGGACTCAGCTGGACTCAGGTCAGGACTCAATTGTGGAAAACTCCGATGGATGTTGCTCTGAGCGTGAGTCCGAGGAGACGAGGGCCACTTGGAGACGCTCGGAGAGGATCTGGACAGTTTTCTCAATAACTTCTGTCATTTTTTAGCGGTTGGGTTTGTATGTGACGCCCCCTGCTGGTGACTTTGGTGAAGCAGGTTATAGCACCGGGTCAGAGGTCAGTCAAGCAGACATGAGCACAACTTTTATTCTAACAGTAAAGCAGAAGTACTCAATATTTTCCACATGTGTCTCTCTAATAATGTCTGTTTGAAATGTTTGTTTTGTTTTGCTCTCTGCTGTTGAATATGGAGCGCGGAAATATGAAAACAGTGTACACGGCCAGCCTTAATCATCGAACTGAATTTCTCCATTTTGAGATAATAAAGTATTGATTGATTGATTGTGTTAATATAAGTCTTGAATAGTCATATGTTCCAATTGAGATCAGTTATAGAGTGTTTGGACCGAAACACGGATCTCAGTCTCTCTGCTCTGAAGTCAAGGAGAACACTTTTCTTGTATCCTACAGTTTTTATCCAATCAGGAGAGAGAACAGCATGAAGGGGTGTTCTGCGCACACACAGGCGGAAGTAGCGGGCGGGCTTTGATGCTAACGGGGGTAAGCTAGCAGCTTTTTGTGTAAAGTTCTTGCAGCGTCTCTGTGTCTGAGACTTCATATAACAGCAGGATGTGTTCACGGAGCTTTATTTTATTATTCAACAGAACTTCTGCATCGGCGAACACGTAGCTGCGATTGTTTACAGTCTCCAGAGAATGAGAACTCAGGCTGGAGGCAAATGTTCTCAAGCACTGTGTTCCCCAATGTCAGCCCTGGTTTAGTCCTGGTTTAGTCCTGGATTAGCTCCTGTTTTGACTGTTTAAGGGTATCTTCAGTCTTCTCGCTTAGACCACCAGTGTCCCCGTGACCACTTTGCAGCTCTCTGATTGGTCGCCGCAACCATAGACTGTAAAGTCAAGGAGCGATAAGAAACTGCCAAAACAACTGAATCTTTTACTGCTGCTTTAATCGTGGTCAGTGTCGTTATGAACATTCAGCTTGCTCCAGTGTAAACTCAGATTTAAAAAAATTGCCTTTAAGCCACACAAAGTTCATTTTCCACACACAAACAATAAAATATCAATATGACCCAGAGAGAGGCTGTAAATCGATATCAATACCAAAAATAGAATTAAAGGAACAGAGCAGGAGGACAGAGGTCTGATAACAAGAGTATATCCCACAGACACAGGTGACACACATCAGGGCAGGTTAGGGTTTAGGGTTGTGTCCTGGATCATCAGGACTGTCCTCAGACCCTCCTGCATCAGCAAAGAACCACTCGACCCAGAGCACGTCCTTGAAAACATCTGGTGCCTCAAAACAACCGCTGAAATCTGAAAACGCCGGAAGCATCGTCACAAAAATCCACTGATGTTTCCCACATGGCCTCCGTAATCTGCATCTCACGTTTCCTTCAATCGGACCCCCCCACTCTAAACCTGACCCCCCCCACTCTAAACCTGACCCCAAACCTGTGATCGCACCGATGTCAGACACTTAGGTCCTGACAGAGTGCGCTGTGAGAAAAAGTCTCTCTAACACTTAATGGCTGCCAAATGGGACTCAGGCTGTGCTCATTCAGAATCACCTCCAAACGTCCCGTGCAGATGCAGAGGGTGGAGAAGGAGGAGTAGAGGGGAGTAGAGGGGAGTAGAGGGAGTAGAGGGAGTAGAGGGAGTAGAGGGGAGTAGAGGGGAGTAGAGGGAGTAGAGGGAGTAGAGGGGAGTAGAGGGGAGTAGAGGGAGAGTAAAGGGGAGCAGGGTAAAGGCGGCGGAGGATGAGGGAGTGCGGTGACGGACGTGAACAAGCTTCTGACGGAGCGAGTCGCTGCGTGGCATCAATCACTGAGACCCACTTTCAATCACCGTCAGTGTGGCTTTTCCTCTGGAGCGACGTGTGTGTATGTGTGTGTGTGTGCGTCTGTGTGTGTGTGCGTGCGTCTGTGTGTATGTGTGTGTGCATGAGAGAATCCAGTTCCAACTTCCCACTGAAAAATTGAATGAAAAAATCTCAATTTAAAATCACTTTAATGTCTCAAAATATTTTTATTTTCTGACGTCTCAAATAAAACAATGTTACTCCCCGAGCTGTGTGGTGGCGCAGTTTAGTCTTCGTGTCTGCGCAGGTTTCCTCCAGGTGTTTCGGTTTTCCCCTAGCACCGAAAACATGTGCAATAGCTGAGGCTGAATGATGTTTGTGTGTGACAGAGATGATAATTAGCAACACAACCACAACTGTTCATGAACACACACTGTCCCACACTGGACCGCAGTCAGAGCAGATCCAGATTGGGGACCACAGGGACCACTTCAGTACAGGGACTCCTTCAGCACAGGGACCCCTTCAGCACAGGGACCACTTCAGCACAGGGACCCCTTCAGCACAGGGACCACTTCAGCACAGGGACCCCTTCAGCACAGGGACCACTTCAGCACAGGGACCCCTTCAGCACAGACCCGAATGAATCCAGAAACAAAGTGCCGTGTCCTCTCCAGGTGTGTCTCAGGTCTTGTTCACGACTGAGGGAAGGATGGAGTGAGGTTGATGGATCAGTGCAGCGTGTGACTGCTGTGGTGAAGAGGGAGCAGCGTCTGCAGTCAAAGCTCTGGATGCCCCAACTCTCTCCTCTGGTCCTGAGCTTTGGGTACAGACTGATCCAGATCCTGCGGTGGTCTCAGGACAGACCACGGAGCTGCGCTCGTGTTGAAGAACTAAGTACGACTCTCCTTAGGCTTCTACATCTGTCTGATTCTCTAATCTGTGTCGGTGAATTCAACAGTTTGGTAAAGTCCTCTGAGATAACTACGGTTCTGATTCAGGACGACACCAGAATCCATTGAATTGGATTTGTTTTCACACTTCAGGCGCCACAGAAATGAACGAGACATTTATCTTTCAGGAGTCATCGCTCTCTGGTCGGCCCCTCGCTGTGAAAACACAAATGTATCGTGTCAATATTTAAGTAAGAGCTTCAGGTCAGATACAGGACGAGACTCTGAAATGAGCTGCTTTGAACTGGGCCCAGAGGATCCTGCGTTTAACTCAGTGATCTCGAACACGGTAATCTCGAACACAGTGATCTCGAACACGGTGATCTCGAACACGATGATCTCGAACACACTGATCTCGAAAACGGCAAACTCGAACATGGTGATCTCGTACACACTAATCTCGTACACACTAATCTCGAACACACTGATCTCGAACACACTGATCTCAAACACACTGATCTCGAACATGGCGATCTCGAACACGATGATCTCGAACACACTGATCTCGAACACACTGATCTCGAACACACTGATCTCAAACACACTGATCTCGAACATGGCGATCTCGAACACAATGATCTCGAACACACTGATCTCGAAAACGGCAAACTCGAACACGGTGATCTCGTACACACTAATCTCGAACACACTGAACTCGAACACACTGATCTGGAAAACGTGATCTCGAACACACTGATCTTGAAAAATGTGATCTGGAACACACTGATCTCAAACACGGTGATCTGGAAAACGGTGATCTGGAACACGTGATTTCAAACACGGTGATCTCGAACACGGTGATCTCGAACACGGTGATCTCGAACACGGTGATCTCGAACATGGTGATTTCGAACACGGTGATCTCGAACACGGTGATCTCGAACATGGTGATTTCGAACACGGTGATCTCGAACACGGTGATCTCGAACATGGTGATTTCGAACACGGTGATCTCGAACACGCTGATCTCGAACACACTGAACTCGAACACACTGATCTCGAACACGGCGATCTCGAACACGGTGATCTCGAACACAGTGATTTCGAACACACTGATCTCAAACACGGTGATCTCGAACACGGTGAGCTCGAACACAGTGATTTCGAACACGGTGATCTCGAACACGGTGATCTCGAACACGGTGATCTCGAACACGGTGATCTCGAACACAGTGATCTCGAACACGCTGATCTCGAACACACTGATCTCAAACACACTGATCTCGAACACACTGATCTCGAACACGGCGATCTGCAACACAGTGATCTCGAACACAGTGATCTGGAACACAGTGATCTCGAACACAGTGATCTCGAACACACTGATCTCGAACACAGTGATCTCGAACACACTGATCTCGAACACACTGATCTCGAACACACTGATCTCGAACACACTGATCTGGAACACACTGATCTCGAACACGGTGATCTGGAACACACTGATCTCGAACACGGTGATCTGGAACACACTGATCTCGAACACACTGATCTGGAACACACTGATCTGGAACACACTAATCTCGAACACACTGATCTCGAACACACTGAACTGGAACACACTGATCTGGAACACACTGATCTGGAACACACTGATCTCGAACACGGTGATTTCGAACACGGTGATCTCGAACACACTGATCTCGAACACACTGATCTCGAACACACTGATCTCGAACACACTGATCTCGAACACGGTGATCTCGAACACACTGATCTCGGGGTTGGTCTCAGACTCAGTTTTTCAGGTGAAAGTAAAACATTTCAGAAATCCCATGAACCAGACCTTGTGCCTAAATGTTGGTCTGTTGTTTCCTTGAGATCTTCATGGTGCAGTAACAAAGAGACTCTGGTTCTGAAACTAGACCTGAGTCTGAGTCAGGCCGGTCCTCATGGTCTTGGACTCTGTAAATGTGGATCTTTAATAAGTGGCCCTCAATACAAACAGTTGGAGCGCCCCTGGTTCTCTCTGATGTAATCTGAGATTGAGCAGGTTTTGCCACTTCGTAAACCTCGTCCATGGCCAGTTTTAGTCTAGATTTAATTGCTCCAAATGTGTGCATCCGATGTCAGACCCCGGGGCCAGAAGCAGTCCGATGTCAGACCCCGGGGCCAGAAGCAGTCCGACATCAGACCCCGGGGCCAGAAGCAGTCCAGAGACTCCTCCAACAGGTTGTGTTCAGGCACAAACTGAGGTATTACTCTTTAACTGTTTCTCTATGTCCCACACATCCTCATGACAAAGTATTGGATTTAGATATTCCTCCTCTCTGGTCTCTCTCTGGTATCTCTCTCTGGTATCTCTCTCTGGTATCTCTCTCTGGTTTCTCTCTGTCTCTCTCTGGTCCATCTCTGCTCTCTCTGTCTCTCTCTGGTCTCTCTCTCTGGTCCCTCTCTCTGGTCTCTCTCTGGTCTCTCTATGGTCTCTCTCTCTGGTCTCTCTCTGGTCTCTCTCTGGTCTCTCTCTGGTCTCTCTCTGGTCTCTCTCTCTCTCTGGTCTCTCTCTTGTCTCTCTCTGGTCTCTCTCTGGTCTCTCTCTCTGGTCCCTCTCTCTGGTCTCTCTCTGGTCTATCTCTTGTCTCTCTCTGGTCTCTCTCTTGTCTCTCTCTGGTCTCTCTCTGGTCTCTCTATGGTCTCTCTCTGGTCTATCTCTTGTCTCTCTCTGGTCTCTCTCTGGTCTCTCTCTGGTCTCTCTCTTGTCTCTCTCTGGTCTCTCTCTGTCTCTCTCTGGTCCATCTCTGCTCTCTCTGTCTCTCTCTGGTCTCTCTCTCTGGTCCCTCTCTCTGGTCTCTCTCTGGTCTCTCTATGGTCTCTCTCTCTGGTCTCTCTCTGGTCTCTCTCTCTCTGGTCTCTCTCTGGTCTCTCTCTGGTCTCTCTCTCTCTGGTCTCTCTCTTGTCTCTCTCTGGTCTCTCTCTGGTCTCTCTCTCTGGTCCCTCTCTCTGGTCTCTCTCTGGTCTATCTCTTGTCTCTCTCTGGTCTCTCTCTTGTCTCTCTCTGGTCTCTCTCTGGTCTCTCTATGGTCTCTCTCTGGTCTATCTCTTGTCTCTCTCTGGTCTCTCTCTGGTCTCTCTCTGGTCTCTCTCTTGTCTCTCTCTGGTCTCTCTCTGTCTCTCTCTGGTCCATCTCTGCTCTCTCTGTCTCTCTCTGGTCTCTCTCTCTGGTCCCTCTCTCTGGTCTCTCTCTGGTCTCTCTATGGTCTCTCTCTCTGGTCTCTCTCTGGTCTCTCTCTCTCTGGTCTCTCTCTGGTCTCTCTCTCTCTGGTCTCTCTCTTGTCTCTCTCTGGTCTCTCTCTTGTCTCTCTCTGGTCTCTCTCTGGTCTCTCTCTCTGGTCCCTCTCTCTGGTCTCTCTCTTGTCTCTCTCTGGTCTCTCTCTTGTCTCTCTCTGGTCTCTCTCTTGTCTCTCTCTTGTCTCTCTCTCACATCCTCATGACAAAGAATTATCCAAGTATTGGATTTAGATATTCCTCCATTCAATCTTCAGATAGTGTGGAATTCTGCGAAATGACTCCGGTCTAAAAATATCCATCTCCGCCGCATCGTGTTTGTCCCGTTTCTTTTCGAGCTGGAATCAAGGCCACGAAGTGATCCACTTTCTCAGAACGTGAGCTTCACAAAATCTTCTCATCTGAAATCCTCTAAAGATGATGCTTTATGTATAGTACAGAACATTATATACACACACAAACACGGACACACACATCCTGGGTCGTATAAACTCATCAATCTGGAAAGACGACAGAAGATTGCATCAGAATAATATTTACTACAACATTAATTGCATTTGAAGAAGTAATGTTCACAAGATTTGCAGATTAGACCCCAGCTCTGGTCTCTCTCTGGTCTCTCTCTGGTCTCTCGGGTCTTTCTCTCTGGTCTCTCTCTGGTATCTCTCTCTGGTCTCTCTCTGGTCCCTCTCTGTCTCTCTCTGGTCCCTCTCTGGTCTCTCTCTGGTCCCTCTCTCTGGTCTCTCTCTGGTCTCTCTCTGGTCCCTCTCTGGTCTCTCTCTGGTCCCTCTCGGTCTCTCTCTGGTCTCTCTCTTGTCTCTCTCTGCTTTCTCTGTCTCTCTCTGGTCTCTCTCTGGTCTCTCTCTGGTCCCTCTCTGGTCCCTCTCTCTGGTCTCTCTCTGGTCTCTCTATGGTCCCTCTCTGGTATCTCTCTCTGGTCTCTCTCTGTCTCTCTCTGGTCCATCTCTGCTCTCTCTGTCTCTCTCTGGTCTCTCTCTCTGGTCCCTCTCTGGTCTCTCTCTGGTCTCTCTCTTGTCTCTCTCTGCTTTCTCTGTCTCTCTCTGGTCTCTCTCTGGTCTCTCTCTCTGGTCCCTCTCTCTGGTCTCTCTCTGGTCTCTCTCTGGTCTCTCTCTGGTCTTTCTCTCTGGTCTCTCTCTGGTATCTCTCTGGTATCTCTCTCTGGTCTCTCTCTGGTCCCTCTCGGTCTCTCTCTGGTCTCTCTCTGGTCTCTCTCTGGTCTGTCTCTGGTCCCTCTCTGGTGTCTCTCTCTGGTCCCTCTCTCTGGTCTCTCTCTGGTCTCTCTCTGGTCCCTCTCTGGTATCTCTCTCTGGTCTCTCTCTGTCTCTCTCTGGTCTCTCTCTGGTCCCTCTCTGGTCTCTCTCTGGTCTCTCTCTCTGGTCCCTCTCTGGTCTCTCTCTGGTCTCTCTCTGGTCTCTCTCTGTCTCTCTCTGGTCTCTCTCTGGTCCCTCTCTGGTCTCTCTCTTGTCTCTCTCTGCTTTCTCTGTCTCTCTCTGGTCTCTCTCTGGTCTCTCTCTGGTCTCTCTCTCTGGTCCCTCTCTCTGGTCTCTCTCTGGTCTCTCTCTGGTCCCTCTCTGGTATCTCTCTCTGGTCTCTCTCTGTCTCTCTGTCTCTCTCTGGTCTCTCTCTGGTCTCTCTCTGTCTCTCTCTGGTCTCTCTCTGGTCTCTCTCTCTGGTCCCTCTTTTTGGTCGCTCTCTGGTCTCTCTCTGTTCTCTCTCTGGTCTCTCTCTGGTCTCTCTCTGGTCTCTCTCTGGTCTCTCTCTGGTCTCTCTCTGGTCTCTCTCTGGTCTCTCTCTCTGGTCTCTCTCTGTTCTCTCTCTGGTCTCTCTCTGGTCTCTCTCTGGTCTCTCTCTGGTCTCTCTCTGGTCTCTCTCTGGTCTCTCTCTGGTCTCTCTCTGGTCCCTCTCTCTGGTCTCTCTCTGGTCTCTCTCTGGTCTCTCTCTGGTCTCTCTCTGGTCTCTCTCTGGTCTCTCTCTGGTCCCTCTCTCTGGTCTCTCTCTGGTCTCTCTCTGGTCTCTCTCTGGTCTCTCTCTGGTCTCTCTCTGGTCTCTCTCTGGTCTCTCTCTGGTCTCTCTCTGGTCCCTCTCTCTGGTCTCTCTCTGGTCTCTCTCTGGTCTTTCTCTGGTCTCTCTCTAGTCTCTCTCTAGTCTCTCTCTGGTCTCTCTCTGACTGTTGATTCTTCCATAATGTGATGTGCAGATGTCGTTTGTTTGTCCTTGTTCTGTTTTATGTTATTGTGACATTAAAAGTTTGATTGTTTAGAGTTTGGACTGTGGGGGTGGGGGTGTCCTTCAGCTTCAGCCCACTCCTTTTGAGCATAATTAATACTGTTCAAACACTTTAAAAAACATGTTATGGTCTGATTTTTGTCACCACACTTCACATTTACGAGTCTCTCTCTCTCTGTTCCTTCTATTCTGGGTTAAAACAAAATGTATTCACGGTGAGAAAAAAGGCGCCGCAGCTTTAAATTCTGGTGTGTTGCATTTTTGTCTGAGCCGCAACGTAAGCAAAAAGCAGAGAAGGTGTAAATATTGTGCGTTCACATTTTCTCAGCGTTGGCTCCTTTAATATGCATCTTTTTACCTTTTTTTTTTTTGTAATTTTCTTTTTATTGTCTCATTTTTTATCACATTACGGCCACATTGTCGTCACATTTTTGTCACGTTGTCGTCACATTTTTGTCACATTACGGTCCTATCTTTATCACATTTTTGTCACATTACGGTCCTATCTTTATCACATTTTTGTCACATTTTTGTCACATTTTTGTCACATTTTTGTCAATTTTTTGTCACATTTTTGTCACGTTGTCGTCACATTTTTGTCACATTTTTGTCACATTTTTGTCACGTTGTCGTCACATTTTTGTCACATTACGGTCCTATCTTTATCACATTTTTGTCACATTACGGTCCTATCTTTATCACATTTTTGTCACATTTTTGTCACGTTGTCGTCACATTTTTGTCACGTTATAGTCACATTTTTGTCACATTTTTGTCACGTTGTCGTCACATTTTCATCACGTTGTCACATTTTTGTCACATTACGGTCCTATCTTTATCACATTTTTGTCACATTTTTGTCACGTTGTCGTCACATTTTTGTCACGTTATAGTCACATTTTTGTCACGTTGTCGTCACATTTTCATCACGTTGTCGTCACATTTTTGTCACATTACGGTCCTATCTTTATCACATTTTTGTCACATTACGGTCCTATCTTTATCACATTTTTGTCACATTATGGTCCTATCTTTATCACATTTTTGTCACATTTTTGTCACGTTGTCGTCACATTTTTGTCACGTTATAGTCACATTTTTGTCACATTTTTGTCACGTTGTCGTCACATTTTCATCACGTTGTCGTCACATTTTTGTCACATTACGGTCCTATCTTTATCACATTTTTGTCACATTACGGTCCTATCTTTATCACATTTTTGTCACATTACGGTCCTATCTTTATCACATTTTTGTCACATTACGGTCCTATCTTTATCACATTTTTGTCACATTACGGCCCTATCTTTATCACATTTTTGTCACATCTTTGTCACATTTTTGTCACATTTTTGTCACATTTTTGTCACGTTATCGTCACCTTGTCGTCCTATTATGGTCACATCTTTGTCAAATTTTTTGTTACATTGTCGTCACATTTTTGTCACTTTATCGTCACATTGTTTGTTACATTGTCACATTGTCTCTTTTTACCTTTTTGTCCCGTCTTGCTTCCTGTAACACATTTATTTTTGAGTCCAGCGAGAGATCCTCTTTCCCTTTGCTTCTGCCCTTTGTGTTGGAGGCTCGGGGCCTGCTCTGCCGCAGCCGCCCTGCTCTGCCGCAGCCGCCCTGCCGCAGCCGCCCTGCCGCAGTACGGGTGTCAGTCCGGGTTAGCTTCAGAGCCCACCCCCACCACCGCAGAAGGGCTGGTTAACTGAAGCATGCTAATAGGAAAGGGCTTGTCTCTTCCGCGCTAACACTCGGATGACTCTGCAGGGCCCCGCATGGTGAAGGACCGACACACACACACACACACACTGGTTTGGTTTTGATGCGTTGTGAGGACTTTCCCATGAAGTTTGGTGGAATCCTAGAGCTTAACTTTAACCTCAAAAAGGACGTGTTTCTATGAGACAGAATAAGTAGCACGCAGGATAATAACTCTATACTAAATAAAATAAAATATAAATAAAAAATCTCCATCTCCAGAATAAAAAGAAGCAGTATAAAATCTCTACCGTTGGCATTATAAGAGGCAAGTTTAAAGTGTATTCTAGTGCAAGAAATATGTAGCAGTATGTTTACATCTGCACATGTTAGCAGCAGTATGTTAGCATCTGTACATGTTAGCATCTGTACATGTTAGCAGCAGTATGTTAGCATCTGTACATGTTAGCAGCAGTATGTTTACATCTGTACATGTTAGCAGCAGTATGTGGCTCTGGGACAAAGTGACAAAGTAGAGCAACAATGACACATGTGGTTCTTTACTGCAAACTCTGACATTACTTAGACATTACTCTGACATTACTTAGACATTACTTAGACATTACTCTGACATTACTTAGACATTACTTAGACATTACTTAGACATTACTCTGACATTACTTAGACATTACTCTGACATTACTTAGACATTACTTAGACATTACTCTGACATTACTTAGACATTACTCTGACATTACTTAGACATTACTTAGACATTACTCTGACATTACTTAGACATTACTTAGACATTACTCTGACATTACTTAGACATTACTTAGACATTACTTAGACATTACTCTGACATTACTTAGACATTACTCTGACATTACTTAGACATTACTTAGACATTACTTAGACATTACTCTGACATTACTTAGACATTACTCTGACTACTTAGACATTACTTAGACATTACTCTGACATTACTTAGACATTACTTAGACATTACTCTGACATTACTTAGACATTACTCTGACATTACTCTGACATTACTTAGACATTACTCTGACATTACTTAGACATTACTTAGACATTACTCTGACATTACTTAGACATTACTTAGACATTACTTAGACATTACTCTGACATTACTTAGACATTACTTAGACATTACTCTGACATTACTTAGACATTACTTAGACATTACTCTGACATTACTTAGACATTACTTAGACATTACTTAGACATTACTTAGACATTACTCTGACATTACTTAGACATTACTCTGACATTACTTAGACATTACTTAGACATTACTTAGACATTACTCTGACATTACTTAGACATTACTCTGACATTACTTAGACATAACTTAGACATTACTCTGACATTACTTAGACATTACTTAGACATTACTCTGACATTACTTAGACATTACTCTGACATTACTCTGACATTACTTAGACATTACTCTGACATTACTTAGACATTACTCTGACATTACTTAGACATTACTTAGACATTACTTAGACATTACTTAGACATTACTCTGACATTACTTAGACATTACTCTGACATTACTTAGACATTACTTAGACATTACTCTGACATTACTTAGACATTACTTAGACATTAATTAGACATTACTCTGACATTACTTAGACATTACTCTGACATTACTTAGACATTACTTAGACATTACTCTGACATTACTTAGACATTACTTAGACATTACTCTGACATTACTTAGACATTACTCTGACATTACTTAGACATTACTCTGACATTACTTAGACATTACTTAGACATTACTCTGACATTACTTAGACATTACTTAGACATTACTTAGACATTACTCTGACATTACTTAGACATTACTTAGACATTACTCTGACATTACTTAGACATTACTCTGACATTACTTAGACATTACTTAGACATTACTTAGACATTACTTAGACATTACTCTGACATTACTTAGACATTACTCTGACATTACTTAGACATTACTTAGACATTACTCTGACATTACTTAGACATTACTTAGACATTACTCTGACATTACTTAGACATTACTTAGACATTACTTAGAGTTATTCCCAGAGTTGAGTTAAAATTTGAATATGTTGCAGAAACAGTGATAATCTGAAAAGTCCCGACTGATGGAGATGTGGAGAATGTGGATGTGGATCGGTCTGGGATCGGTCTGGGATCGGTCTGGGATCGGTCTGGGATCGGTCTGGGATCGGTCTGGGATTGGTCTGGGATTGTGTTGCAGACAGAAAACAGATTTTATTGTTGACGGTAAAGACGAGACACAAACAAGGATTTTACTGCATGGAGGAATAGAGACGCTCCAATCAGCAGCTGCCACGGGGTCAGTAGCTTTGGCCTTCAGACCAAAACATGAAGAGGAAATTCACTGAGGCCTGCAGACTGGAGTAATAAGTTCACAGTTTGATAAAACATCCACAGAGGAAAGGTGGTCTGAGTAAGATGGTTAAGGTTAGGGTTAAGGTGGTCTGAGTAATAGTACTAGAATTTAATATGCTGCTATCCAGAATATATAACTACAATATGTGTTTATAATATTTCGGGTGTTCATTTTGACATGTTTAGATGAATTATGTTAAAAAAACGGCTTTCAAGTGGCACTTTTTCACTTCCGCATAGAAACGCTAGGGGGGGCCAAAATGGCGGCGATGACGTAGGAGGAGGGCATCTCACAGCAGCAGACAGCAGTCTGGTTGGAAACTGTAGGAGGTTTCACTGTCATCTGAACAAGGTATAAACATATTCATCCGTTTTGTACATAATAGTGTGCAACTCTTTTAATCTTTTAGCCTTATTTGTGAGATTCAAGCTAATTAGTGTTGGGCAAGTTAGCTAACTCTACTTAATATCATTAAACATGCTAACAAGGCTAATATTCGTTTTTACATTATGCCAGTCTCACTTTGGTTGCCTTGAATTTATTTACCACAATGTACATTGTAATATCCATAAATGCTAACACCTATTAACGGTTTAATTAGCATTTTTATCAATGATTGCATCACATGTAGTCTATGTTTTCAACTTCTGCAGCTTTTTGTTCATAAAAGTAAAATATTTATTTAATTCAAGTTATTTTGATTAGCATTTTTGAATATTACAATGTACATTGTGGTAAATAAATTCAAGGCAACCACAGTGAGACTGGCATAATGTAAACACGAATATTAGCCTTGGTAGCATGTTTTATGATATTAAGTAGAGTTAGCTAACTTGCCCAACACTAATTAGCTTGAATCTCACAAATAAGGCTAAAAGGTTAAAAGAGTTGCACACTATTATGTACAAAACGGATGAATATGTTTATACCTTGTTCAGATGACAGTGAAACCTCCTACAGTTTCCAACCAGACTGCTGCTGCTGCTGTGAGATGCCCTCCTCCTACGTCATCGCCGCCATTTTGGCCCCCCCTAGCGTTTTTATAAAGGTGCCACTTGAAAGCCGTTTTTTAAACATAATTCATCTAAACATGTCAAAATGAACACCCGAAATATTATAAACACATATTGTAGTTATATATTCTGGATAGCAGCATATTAAATTCTAGTACTACTTTAAGGTTAGGGTTAAGGTGGTCTGAGTAAGATGGTTAAGGTTAGGGTTAAGGTGGTCTGAGTAAGATGGTTAAGGTTAGGGTTAAGGTGGTCTGAGTAAGATGGTTAAGGTTAGGGTTAAGGTGGTCTGAGTCAGATGGTTAAGGTTAGGGTTAAGGTGGTCTGAGTAAGATGGTTAAGGTTAGGGTTAAGGTGGTCTGAGTAAGATGGTTAAGGTTAGGGTTAAGGTGGTCTGAGTAAGATGGTTAAGGTTAGGGTTAAGGTGGTCTGAGTAAGATAGTTAAGGTTAGGGTTAAGGTGGTCTGAGTAAGATAGTTAAGGTTAGGGTTAAGGTGGTCTGAGTAAGATAGTTAAGGTTAGGGTTAAGGTGGTCTGAGTAAGATAGTTAAGGTTAGGGTTAAGGTGGTCTGAGTAAGATGGTTAAGGTTAGGGTTAAGGTGGTCTGAGTAAGATGGTTAAGGTTAGGGTTAAGGTGGTCTGAGTAAGATGGTTAAGGTTAGGGTTAAGGTGGTCTGAGTAAGATGGTTAAGGTTAGGGTTAAGGTGGTCTGAGTAAGATAGTTAAGGTTAGGGTTAAGGTGGTCTGAGTAAGATAGTTAAGGTTAGGGTTAAGGTGGTCTGAGTAAGATAGTTAAGGTTAGGGTTAAGGTGGTCTGAGTAAGATGGTTAAGGTTAGGGTTAAGGTGTGGTCTGAGTAAGATGGTTAAGGTTAGGGTTAAGGTGGTCTGAGTAAGATGGTTAAGGTTAGGGTTAAGGTGGTCTGAGTAAGATGGTTAAGGTTAGGGTTAAGGTGGTCTGAGTAAGATAGTTAAGGTTAGGGTTAAGGTGGTCTGAGTAAGATAGTTAAGGTTAGGGTTAAGGTGGTCTGAGTAAGATGGTTAAGGTTAGGGTTAAGGTGGTCTGAGTAAGATGGTTAAGGTTAGGGTTAAGGTGGTCTGAGTAAGATGGTTAAGGTTAGGGTTAAGGTGGTCTGAGTAAGATGGTTAAGGTTAGGGTTAAGGTGGTCTGAGTAAGATGGTTAAGGTTAGGGTTAAGGTGGTCTGAGTAAGATGGTTAAGGTTAGGGTTAAGGTGGTCTGAGTAAGATGGTTAAGGTTAGGGTTAAGGTGGTCTGAGTAAGATGGTTAAGGTTAGGGTTAAGGTGGTCTGAGTAAGATGGTTAAGGTTAGGGTTAAGGTGGTCTGAGTAAGATGGTTAAGGTTAGGGTTAAGGTGGTCTGAGTAAGATGGTTAAGGTTAGGGTTAAGGTGGTCTGAGTAAGATGGTTAAGGTTAGGGTTAAGGTGGTCTGAGTAAGATAGTTAAGGTTAGGGTTAAGGTGGTCTGAGTAAGATAGTTAAGGTTAGGGTTAAGGTGGTCTGAGTAAGATAGTTAAGGTTAGGGTTAAGGTGGTCTGAGTAAGATAGTTAAGGTTAGGGTTAAGGTGGTCTGAGTAAGATGGTTAAGGTTAGGGTTAAGGTGGTCTGAGTAAGATGGTTAAGGTTAGGGTTAAGGTGGTCTGAGTAAGATGGTTAAGGTTAGGGTTAAGGTGGTCTGAGTAAGATAGTTAAGGTTAGGGTTAAGGTGGTCTGAGTAAGATAGTTAAGGTTAGGGTTAAGGTGGTCTGAGTAAGATAGTTAAGGTTAGGGTTAAGGTGGTCTGAGTAAGATGGTTAAGGTTAGGGTTAAGGTGGTCTGAGTAAGATGGTTAAGGTTAGGGTTAAGGTGGTCTGAGTAAGATGGTTAAGGTTAGGGTTAAGGTGGTCTGAGTAAGATGGTTAAGGTTAGGGTTAAGGTGGTCTGAGTAAGATGGTTAAGGTTAGGGTTAAGGTGGTCTGAGTAAGATGGTTAAGGTTAGGGTTAAGGTGGTCTGAGTAAGATGGTTAAGGTTAGGGTTAAGGTGGTCTGAGTAAGATGGTTAAGGTTAGGGTTAAGGTGGTCTGAGTAAGATGGTTAAGGTTAGGGTTAAGGTGGTCTGAGTAAGATGGTTAAGGTTAGGGTTAAGGTGGTCTGAGTAAGATGGTTAAGGTTAGGGTTAAGGTGGTCTGAGTAAGATAGTTAAGGTTAGGGTTAAGGTGGTCTGAGTAAGATGGTTAAGGTTAGGGTTAAGGTGGTCTGAGTAAGATAGTTAAGGTTAGGGTTAAGGTGGTCTGAGTAAGATGGTTAAGGTTAGGGTTAAGGTGGTCTGAGTAAGATGGTTAAGGTTAGGGTTAAGGTGGTCTGAGTAAGATGGTTAAGGTTAGGGTTAAGGTGGTCTGAGTAAGATGGTTAAGGTTAGGGTTAAGGTGGTCTGAGTAAGATGGTTAAGGTTAGGGTTAAGGTGGTCTGAGTAAGATGGTTAAGGTTAGGGTTAAGGTGGTCTGAGTAAGATGGTTAAGGTTAGGGTTAAGGTGGTCTGAGTAAGATGGTTAAGGTTAGGGTTAAGGTGGCTGAGTAAGATGGTTAAGGTTAGGGTTAAGGTGGTCTGAGTAAGATGGTTAAGGTTAGGGTTAAGGTGGTCTGAGTAAGATGGTTAAGGTTAGGGTTAAGGTGGTCTGAGTAAGATGGTTAAGGTTAGGGTTAAGGTGGTCTGAGTAAGATAGTTAAGGTTAGGGTTAAGGTGGTCTGAGTAAGATGGTTAAGGTTAGGGTTAAGGTGGTCTGAGTAAGATAGTTAAGGTTAGGGTTAAGGTGGTCTGAGTAAGATGGTTAAGGTTAGGGTTAAGGTGGTCTGAGTAAGATAGTTAAGGTCAATGCTCTACCAACTGAGCCACTGTCGCCCTCATGTATAATTATCATTAATATCATCTTAAAATGGCAGCTGTTATGATAAGTTGGCGTTAACAGGAGGCGGGGCTTATCAGTTCTGTATTTTTGAATAGAAAGTCATTGACCCTGTTTCAATGAGGTCATTTTGATCAATGTTGTGACGAAGACAAAGTGTAAATCAATGATGTTTGTGTGGTTTGTCTGCACTTCAAACCTGTTGATCCAAGACCAGAGGATTTAAGTCACGCACACAAGACTAACCTCCATGTTCTGACTGTAGTTAAGTCACAGAACTCTAACCCGGACACAACACAGAGAGAATCACCAAATGCTTTTGTACAACGTCTTCTTTAGTCTCAGAAACCTCTTTACAGGACGGTCCAAAAGTGGCTCTCGGTCCAAAGTTCCAGATGCTGTTGATACTGAGGGGAGTATATTTTTGGACCAGTCTAGTTTCGCCATTGTGGACTTCAGAATGCTCTCGTTAAATGAATGGGGCTAGTGCGGCTAAAACATGCGCTAATATGTTTTTTCCTGCCCAGCGGCCATTTTGAAAAAGCCAACAGAAGGTAACAGTGATGGCACGTTAGTTTCAACGGCGGAGATAATATTTCCATGGCTCAAATACACGCACACACACACATACGCACACACCTACACACACACACACACGCAAGTATTCTTGGGTTTCATATGACGTCAGGGCAGTGGCGTGAATAACAAACGTAGGACAGGACGTGACGTATCCTGGCGGTGCAGTCTGCCGGGTTTATACACGGAGATATAGTAGAAGAAGAAGTGGTTTATACACAGAGATATAGTAGAAGAAGAAGCGGTTTATACACAGAGATATAGTAGAAGAAGAAGTGTTTTTACACGGAGATATAGTAGAAGAAGAAGCGGTTTATACACAGAGATATAGTAGAAGAAGAAGCGGTTTATACACAGAGATATAGTAGAAGAAGAAGTGTTTTTACACGGAGATATAGTAGAAGAAGAAGCGGTTTATACACAGAGATATAGTAGAAGAAGAAGTGGTTTATACACAGAGATATAGTAGAAGAAGAAGCGGTTTATACACAGAGATATAGTAGAAGAAGAAGCGGTTTATACACAGAGATATAGTAGAAGAAGAAGTGTTTTTACACGGAGATATAGTAGAAGAAGAAGCGGTTTATACACAGAGATATAGTAGAAGAAGAAGTGTTTTATACACGGAGATATAGTAGAAGAAGAAGCATCTTTGTGTGCGGTGTTCGCTTGTAGCAACCGCACAAATAGAGAGAAAGACCAGAGTTTGTTCATGTTCCAACTGTGTCTCATATAAAGGAGGACACTTTGAAAAAGTCACTGGAATGAGGCGGGCGAGGTGGATCAAGGCTTTCCCAGATAAGCGCCCCCTGCAGGCCACCCCAATGAAACGCAGCCATTTCTTCTGTTTTTTTTTTCCAAATATGCCCGAAATCAAGACTATTTTTAAGAAATATTTGTTAGTTCTTCCTTAGAACTAAGTGTCTCTGATTAAGACTGTTCCAACAACCGTACACCGCACAGGAGGAGAGCCTTTGACTCCAAAACAGACTTTACATGGTTTTCAATGGGAGCAACACTGTCCTGTCTCTGCTCATACGCCCCCTACAGGCCAGTTTAATGAAAACCAAGAACAATGTCAAATATTAGTCCTTTCAATGTGATGATGGCATAAAAACACTCCTCCAGGATCGGCCAGTGCTGTGGACCAGCGCATTGACCCATCAGTTTGACGTTTATGGACGTTGACACGCTCTCTCTCCCTCTCTCCTCTCCTCTCTCCCCTCCCCCTCTCCCACTCTCTCTCCCACTCTCTCTCCCCCTCTCTCTCCCCCTCAGGCCACGGAGTTGCACATCCGGAGCCATGGACAGACGCCATCTCAGTTGCTTATCGAGCCACATCCTCCACGCAGCTCTGTCACACACCTGAGGAGGAGGAGGAGGAGGAAGAGGAGGAGGAGGAAGAGGAGGAGGAGGAGGAGGGTGAGGGGGAGGAGGGCATGGTGTGAAGTGCATATGTGATGGGAGAAGACATCACTCTGGTCTAGAGAGAGAGAGAGAGAGAGAATAATGTATCCACAATAATGGTTCAAAGGTTCAAGGTCACTCTAGTTTTTCCCATAAATATGTTTGAATGTTTTACAGTGAACACAGACCGTAACAACCCCTTTGAAACTCACACTCTCAAAACTACAGCCACAACAACACTGGGGTGAGGAGCTGGAGTGTTGTCAGAAAGGCCTCATCAGAATAAAAATACATCATAAATGAACGTATCGGGATCTATCTAAAGTCTATACGATCTTATCTCCTACAACCTTTTTCTCACAGAAAGCCACTTTTTTGGACGGAAAAGAGAGCAGAGAACTTTTCCTTTTGCCTCCTCTCTGTGGAGAAAAATTTACTTAGAGAGAGAGAGGTGCAGCAGAGAGAGAGAGAGAGGTGCAGCAGAGTGAGAGAGAGAGGTGCAGCAGAGAGAGAGAGAGGTGCAGCAGAGAGAGAGAGAGATGCAGCAGAGAGAGAGAGAGGTGCAGCAGAGAGAGAGAGAGATGCAGCAGAGAGAGAGGTAGGTGCAGCAGATAGAGAGAGAGATGCAGCAGAGAGAGAGGTAGGTGCAGCAGAGAGAGAGAGAGGTGCAGCAGAGAGAGAGAGAGGTGCAGCAGAGAGAGAGAGAGAGGTGCAGCAGAGTGAGAGAGAGGTGCAGCAGAGAAAGAGAGGTAGGTGCAGCAGAGAGAGAGAGAGGTGCAGCAGAGAGAGAGAGAGAGGTGCAGCAGAGTGAGAGATAGGTGCAGCAGAGTGAGAGAGAGGTGCAGCAGAGTGAGAGAGAGAGGTGCAGCAGAGTGAGAGAGAGAGGTGCAGCAGAGTGAGAGATAGGTGCAGCAGAGTGAGAGAGAGGTGCAGCAGAGTGAGAGAGAGGTGCAGCTGAGTGAGAGAGAGGTGCAGCAGAGAGAGAGAGAGGTGCAGCAGAGAGAGAGAGAGGTGCAGCAGAGAGAGAGAGAGAGGTGCAGCAGAGTGAGAGATAGGTGCAGCAGAGAGAGAGAGAGGTGCAGCAGAGAGAGAGAGAGGTGCAGCAGAGAGAGAGATAGGTGCAGCAGAGTGAGAGAGAGGTGCAGCAGAGTGAGAGAGAGAGGTGCAGCAGAGTGAGAGAGAGAGGTGCAGCAGAGAGAGAGAGAGAGGTGCAGCAGAGTGAGAGAGAGAGGTGCAGCAGAGAGAGAGGTGCAGCAGAGAGAGAGGTAGGTGCAGCAGAGAGAGAGAGAGGTGCAGCAGAGAGAGAGAGAGGTGCAGCAGAGAGAGAGAGAGGTGCAGCAGAGAGAGAGAGAGATGCAGCAGAGAGAGAGAGAGGTGCAGCAGAGAGAGAGAGAGAGGTGCAGCAGAGTGAGAGATAGGTGCAGCAGAGTGAGAGAGAGGTGCAGCAGAGTGAGAGAGAGAGGTGCAGCAGAGTGAGAGAGAGGTGCAGCAGAGTGAGAGAGGTGCAGCAGAGTGAGAGAGAGGTGCAGCAGAGTGAGAGAGAGGTGCAGCTGAGTGAGAGAGAGGTGCAGCAGAGAGAGAGAGAGGTGCAGCAGAGAGAGAGGTGCAGCAGAGTGAGAGAGGTGCAGCAGAGTGAGAGAGAAGTGCAGCAGAGTGAGAGAGAGAGGTGCAGCAGAGAGAGAGAGGTGCAGCAGAGAGAGAGAGAGAGGTGCAGCAGAGTGAGAGATAGGTGCAGCAGAGTGAGAGAGAGGTGCAGCAGAGTGAGAGAGAGAGGTGCAGCAGAGTGAGAGAGAGGTGCAGCAGAGAGAGAGAGAGAGGTGCAGCAGAGTGAGAGATAGGTGCAGCAGAGTGAGAGAGAGGTGCAGCAGAGTGAGAGAGAGAGGTGCAGCAGAGTGAGAGAGGTGCAGCAGAGTGAGAGAGAGGTGCAGCAGAGTGAGAGAGGTGCAGCAGAGTGAGAGAGAGGTGCAGCAGAGTGAGAGAGAGGTGCAGCTGAGTGAGAGAGAGGTGCAGCAGAGAGAGAGAGAGGTGCAGCAGAGAGAGAGGTGCAGCAGAGTGAGAGAGGTGCAGCAGAGTGATAGATAGGTGCAGCAGAGTGAGAGAAAAGTGCAGCAGAGTGAGAGAGAGAGGTGCAGCAGAGAGAGAGAGGTGCAGCAGAGAGAGAGAGAGAGGTGCAGCAGAGTGAGAGATAGGTGCAGCAGAGTGAGAGAGAGGTGCAGCAGAGTGAGAGAGAGAGGTGCAGCAGAGTGAGAGAGGTGCAGCAGAGTGAGAGAGAGGTGCAGCAGAGTGAGAGAGGTGCAGCAGAGTGAGAGAGAGGTGCAGCAGAGTGAGAGAGAGGTGCAGCAGAGTGAGAGAGAGGTGCAGCTGAGTGAGAGAGAGGTGCAGCAGAGAGAGAGAGAGTTGCAGCAGAGAGAGAGAGAGGTGCAGCAGAGAGAGAGAGAGAGGTGCAGCAGAGTGAGAGAGAGAGGTGCAGCAGAGAGAGAGAGGTGCAGCAGAGAGAGAGAGAGGTGCAGCAGAGAGAGAGAGAGGTGCAGCAGAGAGAGAGGTAGGTGCAGCAGAGAGAGAGAGGTGCAGCAGAGAGAGAGAGAGGTGCAGCAGAGAGAGAGAGAGGTGCAGCAGAAAGAGAGAGAGGTGCAGCAGAGAGAGAGAGAGGTGCAGCAGAGAGAGAGAGAGAGGTGCAGCAGAGTGAGAGATAGGTGCAGCAGAGTGAGAGAGAGGTGCAGCAGAGTGAGAGAGAGGTGCAGCTGAGTGAGAGAGAGGTGCAGCAGAGAGAGAGAGAGGTGCAGCAGAGAGAGAGAGAGGTGCAGCAGAGAGAGAGAGAGAGGTGCAGCAGAGTGAGAGAGAGAGGTGCAGCAGAGAGAGAGAGAGGTGCAGCAGAGAGAGAGAGAGGTGCAGCAGAGAGAGAGAGAGGTGCAGCAGAGAGAGAGAGGTGCAGCATAGAGAGAGGTAGGTGCAGCAGAGAGAGAGAGAGAGGTGCAGCAGAGAGAGAGAGAGGTGCAGCAGAGAGAGAGAGAGAGGTGCAGCAGAGTGAGAGATAGGTGCAGCAGAGTGAGAGAGAGGTGCAGCAGAGTGAGAGAGAGAGGTGCAGCAGAGTGAGAGAGGTGCAGCAGAGTGAGAGAGAGGTGCAGCAGAGTGAGAGAGGTGCAGCAGAGTGAGAGAGAGGTGCAGCAGAGTGAGAGAGAGGTGCAGCTGAGTGAGAGAGAGGTGCAGCAGAGAGAGAGAGAGGTACAGCAGAGAGAGAGGTGCAGCAGAGTGAGAGAGGTGCAGCAGAGTGATAGATAGGTGCAGCAGAGTGAGAGAGAAGTGCAGCAGAGTGGAGAGAGAGAGGTGCAGCAGAGAGAGAGAGGTGCAGCAGAGAGAGAGAGAGAGAGGTGCAGCAGAGTGAGAGATAGGTGCAGCAGAGTGAGAGAGAGGTGCAGCAGAGTGAGAGAGAGAGGTGCAGCAGAGTGAGAGAGGTGCAGCAGAGTGAGAGAGAGGTGCAGCAGAGTGAGAGAGGTGCAGCAGAGTGAGAGAGAGGTGCAGCAGAGTGAGAGAGAGGTGCAGCAGAGTGAGAGAGAGGTGCAGCTGAGTGAGAGAGAGGTGCAGCAGAGAGAGAGAGAGGTGCAGCAGAGAGAGAGAGAGGTGCAGCAGAGAGAGAGAGAGAGGTGCAGCAGAGTGAGAGAGAGAGGTGCAGCAGAGAGAGAGAGGTGCAGCAGAGAGAGAGAGAGGTGCAGCAGAGAGAGAGAGAGGTGCAGCAGAGAGAGAGGTAGGTGCAGCAGAGAGAGAGAGGTGCAGCAGAGAGAGAGAGAGGTGCAGCAGAGAGAGAGAGAGAGGTGCAGCAGAGTGAGAGATAGGTGCAGCAGAGTGAGAGAGAGGTGCAGCAGAGTGAGAGAGAGGTGCAGCAGAGTGAGAGAGGTGCAGCAGAGTGAGAGAGAGGTGCAGCAGAGTGAGAGAGAGGTGCAGCAGAGTGAGAGAGAGGTGCAGCAGAGTGAGAGAGAGGTGCAGCTGAGTGAGAGAGAGGTGCAGCAGAGAGAGAGAGAGGTGCAGCAGAGAGAGAGGTGCAGCAGAGTGAGAGAGGTGCAGCAGAGTGATAGATAGGTGCAGCAGAGTGAGAGAGAAGTGCAGCAGAGTGAGAGAGAGAGGTGCAGCAGAGAGAGAGAGGTGCAGCAGAGAGAGAGAGAGAGGTGCAGCAGAGTGAGAGAGAGAGGTGCAGCAGAGTGAGAGAGAGGTGCAGCAGAGAGAGAGAGAGAGGTGCAGCAGAGTGAGAGATAGGTGCAGCAGAGTGAGAGAGAGGTGCAGCAGAGTGAGAGAGAGAGGTGCAGCAGAGTGAGAGAGGTGCAGCAGAGTGAGAGAGAGGGTGCAGCAGAGTGAGAGAGGTGCAGCAGAGTGAGAGAGAGGTGCAGCAGAGTGAGAGAGAGGTGCAGCTGAGTGAGAGAGAGGTGCAGCAGAGAGAGAGAGAGGTGCAGCAGAGAGAGAGGTGCAGCAGAGTGAGAGAGGTGCAGCAGAGTGATAGATAGGTGCAGCAGAGTGAGAGAAAAGTGCAGCAGAGTGAGAGAGAGAGGTGCAGCAGAGAGAGAGAGGTGCAGCAGAGAGAGAGAGAGAGGTGCAGCAGAGTGAGAGATAGGTGCAGCAGAGTGAGAGAGAGGTGCAGCAGAGTGAGAGAGAGAGGTGCAGCAGAGTGAGAGAGGTGCAGCAGAGTGAGAGAGAGGTGCAGCAGAGTGAGAGAGGTGCAGCAGAGTGAGAGAGAGGTGCAGCAGAGTGAGAGAGAGGTGCAGCAGAGTGAGAGAGAGGTGCAGCTGAGTGAGAGAGAGGTGCAGCAGAGAGAGAGAGAGTTGCAGCAGAGAGAGAGAGAGGTGCAGCAGAGAGAGAGAGAGAGGTGCAGCAGAGTGAGAGAGAGAGGTGCAGCAGAGAGAGAGAGGTGCAGCAGAGAGAGAGAGAGGTGCAGCAGAGAGAGAGAGAGGTGCAGCAGAGAGAGAGGTAGGTGCAGCAGAGAGAGAGAGGTGCAGCAGAGAGAGAGAGAGGTGCAGCAGAGAGAGAGAGAGGTGCAGCAGAAAGAGAGAGAGGT